GGACTAGCAGTAAGTGACAGAATAACTTTTCAGAAATGACTTCCAGTGTTGGGTAAAATAATTTGCAAGAATAAAAACAGACAAAAAATCATACACCAAAGCAGCAACTCCTGTATCTCCTTGTAAGGGCTGTCAGATTTTTTGACAGGTGGAAAAAATGTTTGTTTGTTTTTTTTTTTCTGAATCCTATCTCCAAATTGAGAAGCCACCCACAATCCAGGAGAAACCAAAGAGTGAGTCTTGTCACTATGGTGAAAAGCTGATAAATAATTTAAACTGTCATACTGCTAATGGTTACAGTTGCCTCTAGACTCCCTCCCCACATGCACACTCCCATCCAGCCCCCAAATTTACTTACTTAACATCATTCCTTATCTAAATAAGTGTCTGAGTTACATTTGCATTCTCCCGCAAGTAATGAATTCCTGAAGGAACTAGTGTCATTAACACACTTTTTTTTTGCATTTGTAGTCATTTTTTCACCACTAATTCTTTACATGTGTGTTTAGAATATACCTTCAGTTTGAGAGAACCAAGGTGTCAAGTACAAGGTTAGTTGAATATTAAGTTTAATCTCAGCACATCCACAAAATTGAATGACATGAGATGATTGATAAGCAATACCATTTGCTTTGTCCTAAATAACCAGTTCAATTTACTTTAATATACTTTCAACTTGTCATTGTCATTTGATCTTGCATATGATGCCCCCAGTGAATTATTTTTTGTAGTAACATCTCACCTTGTAATTTCTGCCTATCCTATTGTTCTGAATTAATGAGAAGCAGAAATTTATGCTGAAGATGGCAACTTATAAAATAATGTGATACTATAAATTATTAATATTGTTTAAAAACAAATAAAAATACTACTTAATGGGCTATATATAGTTTATATTTTCTTATTTCAGAACAAAGAGGAAATACTAGAATTCCTGGACTCTGATAACACACTTACTTGGTAGGCATTGAGAGTTCTATGCTTCTGTTTAATGTCAGAAAATTGTGTCTAATATTTATAGCACCTATGTGAAATATTCACATAACAAACTGAAACTGTATAGAATATGCTTGAGTTTAATTATGAATTGGTGATTTGGGTTGGTATTTTTCAAGAGGAATAAGAAAGCAAGCTGTGCAATTTAGTCTACCACATATGATCTGCAGTTGTGGTTATCTTTTTTTTTTTTTTTTTCCCCAATTTTTTTGACCTTAGCATTTGACAAAAGACTGGATACAGATCTTGGTACTTGCCAAGATATCAATTTCAGCTGAAAACAAACAAACAGAAAAACCCAGCTTAGTATGAGAGATGATCATCTATGGATTTCAGATCATTAACTATAGCATGCTTTTGAATCACATGCAATTCATTTTCACAGTTTGTTGTAATATCGGGTGAAGCTTGGTTATGAAATTATCCAAGTTTTCCCTTAAGAATTGAATCTGTGTTACATAAGTTATCAGCTTCTCTAAGTTTACTAAAACTATCAAGTCATTTAATTTCTGGGCTAAAACAGATTTGAATGAATACCTGAATAGATAAAAAATCATATGTAAAAGATGGGAAGGAAGGAAGGAAGGAAGGAAGGAAGGAAGGAAGGAAGGAAGGAAGGAAGGAAGGAAGGAAGGAAGGAAGGAAGGAAGGAAGGAAGGAAGGAAGGAAGGAAGGAAGGAAAGAAGGAATTATACTCAGTCATTTATGGGATAGAATATAGGGTTGAACATACTCATCCAGGAGACTGTCTCATTGAGTCACGAGATTCAGAGTGGACCCCCTTGCATTCTAAACTCCTCAGAGGAGGCTAAGTGCAGCTGGATCCAAACTTAGTCCCAGACTTGGTCAACAGTTTATGTCTAAAGGTTGAAAAGACACTCCTGTTGACTCACAGGGTTTGGAATGGACCCTCTTGCTTTCAAAATTCTTTGAACCAAAAAGTTAGGGAGCTTAGGTGCAGCTGGATCCAATCCTAGTCCAAGACTTTGTCAATGGTTTATGCCTAAATATTACATGTGTACAATCAATCTAAAATATAATCTTAGTGAAGCTTACAAAGTTTATCCAGCTATTAATCACTTACAGAGGATCTGTAGCCACAAGGAATTTATTGTCATTAAGGCATAAAGGATCTCTACAGCAGGCATAACCTTAAGAGGAGTCCCTGCCCAAGGGGAGATCCTGTTGTTCAGACCACTGTCATATAGGAGAGCTCAGCGGGCTCTTGGGTTGCTCACTATTTATGGGATAAGATGGTTGACTAACAGTCATATTTGCATACCAACTGCAGATGTTAGTTTCTGCCAAATTTCATTTGAGGGAGATATTGACCACCACTGTGGTCAGGTGAGCACATTGCTCAACTAGCGCCTTGGCTAGTGTGTGTTATCAGTCTGGCAGCAGCCATCACAACCAGATGGCATCCACCACAACTGCCACTGATGGTCATCTGCTTAAGTTGGATGCAGCCATCATGACTGCCATCTCTTGAGAAGGGTTACAGGAAATAAAGGTTAGGAAGGTATGGGTCAAGCACACCATCACACAATGTTCCTACAATTTGCTAGCCAAAGACATACCATGAAGCAGTTACACAAGTAAAGGAGACAAAGATGTATGACTTCACTCTTCACAAATAGTGTTGTAGATACACTTGCAAATGCAATTAATTTCGTAAAAGTGATGGAGAAAATTAAAGTCTGCTGTACAGAGCCAACAAATCTGCTTCCAGTAGTTTATTTATGATGCTGCTATTCCTTCAGGGGGAGATAATCTAGGGATTTTTCATTTAGGAATCAAGTTTATAACCAGAGTGTTAAGGAATAAGTTTAATGTTGTCTAAAATTGCTTGGACTGATCATTACCAGATATCGTCTTAAAAAAGCTTCCAGCCTTCCTTCAAGAAGTCCTACTGACTCAAAGAAAGAGTTACAAAATGATTCAAGCCAAAGATGTATTTTGGAGAGATAATATATTGTGAGAATTGAGTCATTATTCATTTTCAGGGGATCATGGCCCTTAAGCTTTAAAAATAACGATATTGAAGGGCTAGAATAACTATTAAAAATAACTATATGGGTTTGAATGACCCATGTGTAGTTGCTTTGCTTGACATTTATATTTTATTTTTTATTTTATTTTATTTTTTGTGGACAATTTTTCTCTCAAGCTTTGGCATTTCTCATGGTTGAACAGACTGCTCAAAGCTTGCAGTTTGAAAGATCAGAGAGTAGTGAATATCTTTTCTCAGCTTCTGAAATTCAAAAATGGGAGCATGAACTTCCTTTGTGCCAATCGTAAAGCAGATTTACACTATGACTGGTATAGTCTTTGTGGGCCAAAGCAGTACATTTTTTAATCAAAACATAAAGCATAGTATTAAGGGCACTATCCAAATTGAAAAAAAATATATATAAAAAAAAATAGTAGCTCTAGCCTTTGTATATGAAGCTTTCACACTTCCTGCGTATAGATTTTTATACAACCTTTAAAAAAATTGCTGTCTTTCTGGGAATCTTCTTTCCATCCCCAGTTCCTTGCTTTTGAAGAGGATCATAAATAAAAAGAATTCAGATCACACAAGGAAATTTATATCTACCATAGCTTATCTGTCAAGTCTTTACTTTTCAATAATTTTTTGGCATTATTTACTGTGTTTGTCCTTTAAGGCCATCTAAAAATTCCTCCTTGATCAATTGTTATTTAAGTGGCAGAAAATACTTAGTGAATGTATGCCAACCTCAAGTTCTTTGGAAACTGGAAGTTTAATTTCATTTTTTATATGAATAAGAAGGGTAGTAGGGAACAAGAAGAGGGAAATAAATTCCACTCTGAAAGAAAAAAATGATAAGCCAATGAAAAAGCAAACCACCAATACTTACTCCATTATTATTAGCAGATGTGGTGCTTAGGTGCCTCTGAGTAGCTGCTCATTTCTTTTACATATTGAATGGAATCGAAGTTTTTACTTAATATTCAGTGGATATCAAAAAGGCACGAGACTTTGAAAATCTGGTCTCTATATAATATTCTTCTATTCCAATGATTATTTTTTTTTATGTAACTCAGATAAATTTACAATTTAAAAAATATGAGTTTATAAGTTTATAATGAGTTTATAATGACACCCTCAATTTCACTGAATTTCACTGATGATAGTTTTAATTTTGTCTTTTAACCATTATATGTGTTCATTTTGTGAAAATTTGGAAGGCTCCCCACCAAAGTCTGATCCAATTTTTCTTTCTTTCTCTCATGTTCTAACGCTGTGATGAATGAAAGCAAAACATAAACCTGACAGAGAGGACATAACATTAATTATATTGAGACAATCTGCTAGCAGTAAGGGTGAATGAGTTTCTTTTACAATCAAGTTTCACCACTGATAGTCCTATCAGCTTCTGAGCTTGTTCCACTGCATGGGTGAACAGCTAGGTAGGTCATTTGTCACAGAACATAAAAGCAAGAATCCACTTTTTAAAGTGGGGAATTCAAGCCTATGAGCCCATCAGTAATTTGTACTATAATTCCATCTTTGCATAATCAGAGAGATTAGCTGCCAGCAGTCTGTTTATGTGCAAGAGCCTAGCAATATCTTAGAGATAGTTTTCCATGTAAGCCTATAAATTTTTATGAGATTTATATGTTTTGATCAACAAGAGGAGTTGAGGAGGAGGTTTTTTTGTTTTGTTTTGTTTTTACTTTGAGGAGGAGTATTTTATTTTTTTTAATTAGCAACTTATTTCACTTGTTATTAACACAGGAATACTCGTTTGCCATTTTATTTTGAGAAGTAGCCAAAAGCATACTGGACTCTCCTTTTGTGGTAGGTAGATAAGGTGAAAAGTTTGAAAGGGATATTGCTTTAACACAGATGACCATTGAATGAATTTGATCTTGTTAGGGCTTGAATCAACTCAGCTGGAAAATTGGATGTAAGCAAGACCCGACTGAAAAACAGGTGTTGTAGTTTAATTTAAATAGTCTCAATAAACAAATGACAGCCAAAAGCTATGTGAAATTGCAGGTAGTTATTGTAAAATGGTAGAAGGAAAAATGGATTTGTGATACTTTTTATTGGAAAACCAAAAAGGTTCAAGGAATAATGTTGCTGTAGTTGCAGTACATCTCTACAATAAGAGGTTAAGTAGCAGTCTTGATTTTTTTTTTTTTTGAGAGAAAAAATACTTGATATCTGGGAGGAGCTTAATAAGGAATACATTTGATATAAATCTTATTGCTAGACTTCATGCATATTTCCTAATATATATTTATTTCTGGAGACAATTAAAGTCATTATTTACATTTTTCAAACAGTGACGTTTCATCTGGTGTAGAAAGAAACAGAAGAAAAACTGAAAGGAAGTACTGAAACTGAAATTCTTATGCTAGCTGCTAGCATCTTATTATTTATCAATGATATATTTGCACTAATACTACTTTCCTGAAAATACATATGACCTAAATTGAAACTATTGGTTTACTTATGCAATAAATGTTTTAAAATTCATTGTTACCACCACTCTAAAAATTCTTTAAAATGGTTTTAAATCAATATGAAAATAAATTTCCATAAATATCAGAAGTCATTTGAATTAAAAATGTTCCTTTATTTAGAAAAATGGATATGTGTTTCCGGCTCCCTTTTTATCAAGAAATCTACGTTACGCGCAGTGTGAATTAACACTATGTATAGTGTTAACTATAACATAGTCATATAGTTATAACAGAGCTATAACTAATTCATACAGAAAGAAGTGATTAGATATTTTTGATGGTTGTGGTATGCAGTACTCACAGGTTATTAGTATGGATGTCTCCCCATTTTGGTCTTAAGATCGGTGGCTTCATTCTGTTCATAGTGGGAATAATGAGCACTTGAAGAACTTTGCTGGGAAGAATGTGGAGTGTTCATGTTAATGGGTTCTTCTTCACTGTAGAATACCCATTTTAATGTTGTACTATTTTAATTTTAACATTTTAATATATTTTCTAACATACTTTAAAGCCTTTGTTCTTTCTTCATTTGTCTGTGGCACCATATTACATTTGAAAGTTCTATATGTGGAGCCTTCTAGGAATGTTAAATACCATGGTTCTGTTTGTTATCCTTAGGTTTTGTACAGCTCTGGTCAGCATTACTGTAACTGATCATGGGTGAGTTGTTCATAGCTGTGGGGTCTACTGCACCAGCCTGTGCCCCAATCCTCATCATTCCATGCCTGCAGTCCTCCGCTCTGCAACCTGTGTCCCCACTTCTCAAGGTCTGCGTAACGATGCAGACTGCATCATTATGGTACAATCATGAATATTTTGTTCTATATGTAAGAACTACTTCTTACTGCTATCTGTATAAAGTTATGTTTGCACTATACATGGATAAACACAATTTGAAAAAAAAGTAGCCATCACCACCTGGTCAGTTAGAAAAATGGCTGTCACAGTTAAATTAAGTAAATCACAGCTGTATGCAGATCAAGATAAGTTCAGACACAGCAGGCTTGACAAGCCTTATTTCTGAGGCTGTTCAAGCTCAATATAAAGCTCAAGGCTAATAACAACGGTATGGTATTACAGAACTGTATAGAACTCCAAGGATGAGACCAGTTATCCATGTAGAGGCAGGATGATGTGATTTTAATATCTTAGTATAGGTACATTGATCACTTTAGTGTGTGTTTCCCCATTTTTGCCCCCATATGTAACCTGCCAAATAGTTTGAGGAATTTCATGTTGTGATTCAGGCCAAAGATTAAACACCTGTATTTCTGCCTAAGTAGATAACTCCTTTATCTGTACTCTTTTTAAGCTTTCAAGCATGAACAGCAACAACAACAAAAAGATCTGGAATGATTTTTCTCCCTAGCTCTTTCTCAGATATTTTCTTGTGGGAGCTGGTGAAAAGACTTCCTTCCCTATTTGTTTCTTTGTATATTTTTATTTAAATAGCTCATTACCCAAATTTAAGTCTAATTTTCATCTATATACTGTACATAGATTAGATATTGGTATATAAAGAATCTTAAGTGTTGTTTTAAACCTTGGAAAAAATTCATTCTTGCAAAAACACTGACAAAAGTCCTATCAAATCTTCTTGGCATTGCTGTATCATCTGTGTATATAACTTGTAAATGCTCAGATACCTTATATTTATTTGAAGTTGCTTGTCTAAAATTTAGTAGGTTCTGACATCACATCAGAGTTAGAACTCTGAGATACCATTGAAAATACGTGGTGAGATTTTGAAAACAGCTATGTTTTCAGATGCATTTATAATAATTGCTTTTGACTACAGATTATAGGTCTCAGTGGGTTGTTCTTCTGAAGCATTTTTGGGGCAGTAATAGACATGCTGAAAAAGGCAATTGAGACACTGCTTATGTGCAGCCCTAAAGGTACTTTGATAAGTGTTTTTCTTGTTTGTTTGTTTGTTTTCTAAACAGATGGTGTAATTTGCTTCCTGCTGTTTTAAGGGTTGTCTTCATCCTGAAGTATTCTAGTGCACTCTTCTGCCGATCCTATTTGTCCATTATGACTTTTTTTTTCAGTTCTCCTCTGACTTATATTTCACTTTTATTGTGTGATGTTTTCTTTCAGGGAATTGCTGACCTAGTAAGCCTCAAGCAGCCATGACATACATGGTTCTGGATTATTGTTAAAATGTTTCTCGCTCCTTCTTATTATTCTGAAAAAATATATAAATATAATTGCTTCTCTGAAATTACATACACACACAGAAAAATTTTAAAAAAGCTAATGTTGTGTAATGGTATTATAACATATTCTCAGAGTTTTGCTTTGCAAAGATCATGTGAAATCGGCCCTTACTGAAGGGTCATGTTAAGATATAATTTACTATAATTATTCTTATTCTACATTGCTTTTATGCTTTAGAAAGCAGTCCACTGATATCCTGGAAGAACAGAATCCTTTCCTTTAAAATCCCAAGTTGTTGAGGTAGAGACAGCAATTCTGGAAAGCCTTTCTTTTCAGCTGTGGTGTTTTTCTGCTAGGGGAAAAAAAAGAGAGAGAGAGAGAGAGAAGAGAAGGACAGAGAGAACCATGGTGCTTATTTTAGATCTGGTGGAGTGGGTGGTTATGCTCATCTGGAGATGATCATAATGTAAAAGTTAAACAGTTTTACCATATCTCCTTACAGCTGCTTTACCTATACTTAAAGAAATTGAAGTTTGTGTCATTTGTTGTAAGATGGTGACTTCTCATGTTATTTTTTTCCTTTTTTTTTTTTTGTTTTGTTTGTTTTCTAGATCTCTGACCAATAACCTGAACAAAGAACAGAAGTTGATTGACTGTATGTGACTTTGGAAATACTTGCTATGGGCTAAGAGTGTCCATTTAAACATGTCTGTATAAGCAGATACAGGCACTTATGTACCAGCTCTTCCAACATTCTGGGTTGGCCAGTCACGAATCATCTCTGGACCAGGTGCTGTCTAACTTAATTTGAGAGAGGCTGTATCTCATTCTAAAGTATCAAACTTCTACTTGTATAGATGATGTACCAATATTTTCACTATTCTTGTCAGGTGACAAAACCTGATCATTCCCCTTTACAGATGATGGTCTGAGGAGAATGACTTGCTTGGACATCACACAGAAAAACTGTGAAGACAAACTGTGTTTATTTCCTAAAGTGTGGGCTAACACAATGGCCATTAAACAACTACATCTATTCTTTACTTGACATTGTGGTATAAAACTATGAAACTTGGTATTTGTGTCCTATTAAATTATATTTTTGTCTGTGATCACTGGAACAATACTGAAGTACGTTAGTGACTCTTTGCCATCAGGAAGGTAGAGGAGTAAAATGCTTCTAACATAAAATCATTAAGGTTAGAAAAGACCTCCAAGATCATCTGGTTCAACCATCCCCCTAACACCAATGTCACCCACTAAACCATGTTCTGAAACGCCAGGTCCAACTTTCCCTTAAACAACCCCAGGGATGGTGACTCTACCACCTCCCTGGACAAACGATTCCAATGCCTGAGGAGAAATTTCTCAATTTCCAATCTGAACATCCCCTGGCACAACTTGAGGCCATTCCCTCTAGTCCTATCACTGGTTAATTGTGAGAAGAGGTCGACCCCCAGCTCCCCACAGCTTCCTTTCAGGTAGCTGTACAGAGCAATAAGGTCTCCCCTGAGCCTCCTCTTCTCCAGACGTAATAACTCCAGTTCCCTCAGCTGCTCTTCAAAGGACTTATATTCCAGGCCCTTCACCAGCTTCACATCCCTTCTCTGGACATGTTCCAGGGACTTGATGTCCTTCTTGTAGTCAGAAGCCAAAAGTTGAACACAGTACTTGAGGTGCTGCCCTCACCAGAGCAGAATACAAGGGGACGATCACCTCCCTGGTCCTGCTAGCTGCACTATTCCTGACACAAGCTAGGATGCTGTTGGCCTTCTTTGTCACCTGGGCACACTGCCAGATCATGTTCAGGTGAGCATTGACCAGCACTCCCGGATCCTTTTCCTCTGCACAGCTTTCTAGCCACTCTCCTCCAAGCCTGTAGTATTGCAGAGCAGTGCTTACAATAAGTAAGGAATTTTCAGCTTCTTGTGCTGCCCTGCCAGTGAGGAGACTGAGGGGGCATGCAAGGGCTTTAGGACTAATTGCTAATTGTATTAGCATATTGGGTTTATGTGGCAAGATTTTAGTAGCATGGTGGCTGCAGAGATACCCTCTGTGACAAGAGCCCAGCAGCTCTCCCATGTTAGGTGCAGCTGGTTAGAACCCAGTCCAGCCAGCTCCAAAAAGGACCCATTGCTGGTCAGAACTGAGCCAGTCAGTGATGTTGGTTGTGCCTCTGTGAGAGCAGATTTAAGAAAGGAAAAATCTGCTGCACCACAGCAGCTGGGAGAGAGGAGTAAGAAAATGCAAGAGGAAAAGCCCTACAGATCCCAACGTCAGTGCACAAGAAGGGCAGAAGGTGCTCCAGGCATGGAGCAGAAGTTCCCCTGCAGCCTGTGGAGAGGCCCCTGGTGGAGCAGGCTGTCTCCCTGCAGCCCATGGGTCCCACAGGGAGCAGATCACACTGCAGCACGCGGAGGAGCCCCCGGTGGAGCAGGTGGATGTGGCCTGGAGGAAGCTGCGGCCCATGGAGAGCACCCACAGGAGCAGGCCCTGGTCTGGAGCTGCAGCCCGTGGAGAGGAGCCCATGCAGGCGCAGGGAGTCCAGGGGGAGCTGCCACCCATGGGGGACCCGTGCTGGAGCAGTTTGCTCCTGGGGGATGGACCCCATTGTACTGGAGCCATGTGGGAGCAGGTCTTGAAGACCTGCTGCCTGTGGGAAGCCCTTGCAGGATCACTTTGGGAAGGACAGCATCCTGTGGGACGTACCCCACGTGGAGCAGGGGAAGCGAGTGACAGTGAAGGAGCAGTGGAGATGAAGTATTAGGGACTGACCACAGCCCCCCTTTTCCCACTCCCCTGCACTGCTTTGGTGGAGGAGGTAGAAGAAGATGGATGGGGATGGGAAGGAATCTCTAGCTTATTTTTAGTTCTAATAGCTGTAGTCTATTAGTAATAGGCAATAAATTGCATTAATCTCCCTTATTCTGAGTCTGTCTTTTATGTGATGGTAACTGGTGAATGATCTCCCTGTCCTTAGTTTAACCCCTGATCCTTTTTTCATCGTATTTTCTCTCCCTGTTCTTTTGATGAGGGAAGTGATGGAGCAGTTTGGTGGAGCTTGGCTGCCCATCAGTGTGAAACCACCACAGTTAGATGCTAGCATAGGTAGGGTAAGAGATATAATAATCTGAATTAGTGACAAGTTAGGGTACAAAAACAGGGTTAACATATAATCTGGCCAATTTAAAATCATTTCTAAAGGTGAAACAAATCACTTTCTGACTACCTGGATTTTCCAGGAGATATTTTCATATATATTTGTTTTCATACTTTTTCATATCTATTTGTTTGTGTAGGTGAATTAAAATCAGTTCCAATTAAAATCAGTTCTATTAACAAAGCAAAATATTTTGGTGCTATTTTAACACCAGTTTAGGAGGTAACATAACCCTATGAAATTGCTTGAAGTAATCAGAAGAGTGCTTTCAAAAGATGTTTTTCTGTCTGGTCCACTGGTGATATTCTAGTTGAAGTAATTATTTATTCAATAAAGAGAGAAAATATTTTTTAATAATTTAAAATTTTAAAATATTTTCAATAATTATTTTTAATAATTATTAAATTATTAATACGTAGTCACAGTGCCAGGTGTGACTCCAGCCCCCCTCACATCACTGGTAAAAAGCCTCACTGCTTGTTGTGGATGCACTGTTAACAGTGCACTATTAACAGAGTGCTTGGACACAAAGAAGATAGTAGCAAAGGCAGTATGAGATAGCAATTCAACCACAAATCTGCAAGTGGAGTGTAGCAGAGGTAGGAAAAAAAAAAATGTAATATCTTTGGCCATCTTTTATTTAAAAAGAGGGAGTTAGGTAATATGCATTTTCTCACAACTAGGGGAACTCACATAAGCATTTCAAACCTTGTGGTCTTGTCCAAAGATCCCAATATCCCACAACAGCAGAAAAGTAGATGGGTGGCCTGAGTCAACTGAGTAGAGAAGTCGAGGCTTCTCTACTCCTGGTGAGAAAAGTAACTGGACGGCTGACAAAGTTTCTGCTCTGGGATCTGTATGGATTTCCGAGACAAATAGAAATCCACCGGCATGTACTATCAAAACAACACTGAATAGACAGTAAGAAGTAGGAAGTGCTGCAGAGGCATTCATCTTGCCTATATTTAATTACATAAAAGCAGGTATCCAGTCTAACCAAAAGTTTTCACAGATAGCAGAGGTATACAAGCCTACTCCAGAGGCTGAGTCATCCCATCCAAGGGTATTAACACACAGGAAAAAAACTGTTCTCTGGATTTTCCTGTCCACAATAACTAAAGAAAGAACCTAATGATAACATAAAATAACTTTTAGAGAGCTAGATTAAAATGAGACAAATGTCTTCTTCATTATTCTTTCTCTGATTTGCCTATCTTTATGATGAGGTATTAAGTTTAAATTACCTAGTCTTTCAAAAACTACTTAATTTGTGTTATAAACATACATCCATGTTATAATATTGGCATAGGTGATGACATTGGCAAAGTAAATCTAACCCTGACTGTAATTGTGATTGGATACCTAACTGAAAATATCCTATCAAATATTCTTTTATATATAACTGTTTGTGGTGATAAAGACACATTTATTTTGATATTGTTACAAATGTAATACCTTGAAAAACAGGGAGGCATTGAGATGTAATAGTTGTGATTATGAAAGACAAAACTCAGAAAGACTTCTAAATAAGCATAAATTTCTGTAGAATAGGGAAGAAAATTCTGATAAATTCTCCATCTGTTGAGGTTTAACCCGGGAGGCAGAAAAGCACTGCACAGCCGTTTGCTCACTCTCCTGCCACAGTAAAATGAGGGAGAGAATCAGAAAAAAGGTAAAACTCATTGGTTGAGATATAAATGGTTTAATAGGATAGAAAAGGGAGGGAAAAATATAATAATGATGACAAAAGTATATACAAAACAAGCAATGCACAATTGCGCACCAGCTGCTGACCAATGCCTATCCAATCCCCAGGCAATGCCAGCTCCCCAGCCAACTTTTGTTGCCTCACATGACATCACATTCCTTTGACCAGTTTGGGTCAGCTGTCCTGGTTCTGTACCTTCACAGCTTCTTCTGCACCCTCAGCCTCCTCACTGGCAAGGCAGCACAAGAAGCTGAAAAGATCTTTACATAGTGTAAGCACTGCTCTGCAACAACTATGAGAAAATTAGCTCTATCTCATGCAAAACCAGGACACCATCGTATTCAAATTATTCACATAATTCACCAATAAATGTATTTAGGAAATGTTTAAGTGTTAACAACAGAATGGAACATAACATTTTCCAACCTAATCCCAATATACCAAGTTTCCATTCAGTAGCTTTTTCCTAGCTGTTTTTCATTAAAGTATATCCTCCTAAAAAACATTTTCATAATTTGATGCCATCAAGAGATGAGAAATCCACTACTTAAGTTTCTTCTAAATGTTTAACACTCTTATTTTTCAAGGAAGTTGATTTAATCTTTGTGTGTACAGCTTCAGTATCTGGGGGTCACAATGTTTTTTGTTTGTTTGTTTATTTGTTTGGTTTTTTGCATATACCATTTTAAAGAGTCCTTTGGTATTCGTCCTTTGGTATTCACTATTTCATCTCTCCAGAGATACCATACTCTGTGTAATCAAGACAATTCTGTTTTCTTTGATCAGCTAATAAGAATGTGTTCTTTAACTTTTTCTCTGTATATAATAGTTCCCCAACATCATTTTTATTCTTATTTCTTCCATCTCTCCAGCCTTTGAAATTTTTTTCCCAGATGCACTTCTTGCCTAAGTTATCAGCTGAGAGCAGAAATTTGATTCTTTCTGTCAAATGAAGGAATCTCCCCAAGCATTTTCTTATGATTATTTATAAGTATTGCCATGTGAACTGCAAATCGCTAAAGCATGCATGGGTAATTAATGTCCATTTCATATGAAATATGAAGAGTAAACATCATTAATTTGCTATGCAACAAGATTTTAAAAAGCAGGATGCTTATTTAGTATTTTTCCCCACAAATAGCACTCATCTAAGCTTCTCACCTCTGCATTTAGTCCTTCC